TTTTTTTTTTTTTTTTTCATCCAGACGGCTTCCCACGCCCCCCCTGCAATGGCATGGCGCCCCCCCTAGGGGGCGCGCCCCACAGTTTGGGAACCTCTGCCCTACAGGGTAAAGTCAGATATAATTAAGATTAGGGTGGGGGATGAAGTGGAAACAGAAGAATAAGGTGGAAAAATCTTGAATGATTCTGTTATCTAAAGGTTTGGAGCTTCTTTGGTTAATGTTTACAACTATCCTTTGTGTACATCTGCTTTGACTCAGAAATAAAACACTTCCGAAGGTGCTATGATTAAATTTCACAGTTGGGAAGTTTCCCATCAAGGCCTGCAGGTAAATCTTTTATTGTTTGTATTACAGCCATGAGTTGCATTTTATCAATCTTCAATGACGATACAATAGGTTGCAAAACAGCTTTAACTTTTTTAAAGTACCTGCTGTGATCAGAGTGAGGCATTTAAAGTCTTATAAATTGACCTTTTCTATCGTTACACAGCATGCGATTGCCAGGGCTATGATAAACACTTGCCAATTATTGCATTTATGGGTGGCCTTCATTTCACACTGAGCAGGATAGAAGTAAAGACAGTGACAGCGAGGGGAAGGCCATTTAAAAACCACAGGAACACAGTGATAGTCATTTTGTTAGGGTTACAGAGCACTTCACGCTTCATCGGACACAGAGACATCCACTTAGACAGGACATTAGGAGGCACAGTTTTCATTACTCACTTTCAGCACCAAGCCCGTTTGGATTCCTCATCTCAGCCCCCCCACCCCTCCAAAAAAAAGTTTAAGTACCCATTTACGAGGAGTCGCTTGGCACGGAGAGCTTCAACTCTTTATCGATCCATTTTTCTGGTGAACAACAGACCAAGAGTGGAGAGCTACGGGGAAATCTGAGAGACAGGCACACAAACCTCTCATGTCCCATAGACAAATCACTCTTTACCGTTTTGCGTGGTTTGAACATTTAGTGTTCGATCTCTCGCTCTCTCTTTGTGTGTAAGGATATCGCATCCTGATACACACGTTGGGACTGTTTAGAACTGTGAATACAGAAAGAGAAAGAGAGACAAGCACAAGTGGGTTGGATGATAGTTGACTGGGTTGCTGTTTTTTTCCTTCAACATCAAGCAGGCACTTCTTAGTTGTAATCAGCTTTCAGATTGACCAGTAGGAGTCATTGTCAACTTAATATATCCAGTTACACTTAAATGTGTCCTTATGATACACTGGGATGCTTGGGATTACTCTTATGTTGGACAATTTTCTTACATTCAACCTTGACAACTAATAATTTAAGATCCAACTGCAAAGGCTAACCAACAGGATCAATTAAACCAAGCATAGGCTTCCCCAAGCACCCCTTGTAGGAACAGCAATAATGGCAGTCGTTATTGTCACAGTTTAATTCAGACACTCTGGTGAAAATGGTTTCAGAGATGAGTCATGACAAGAGAGACTATTTAAGGTCTGTTGAAATGCTAGGGGCCAGTGATGGACTGAACTGCCCTATCCATCTCTGCTCCGTCTTGACAAACGCACATAAGGGGCCTCACACGGGTTGCAGAGATAAGATACAGCACGAGCTTCCCTCAGCAGAGCACTACTCTGTTTTCTCAGAACTGCTTGAGAAAAAAAACAGAGTCATTTCTTTAAAAGTGGCAGCCATCTTAGATTTTCTGAAAAGAAAAAGGGCTGGTCCTCACATACTGGCAATTTTTTTTTAAATTATGCTAAAAAGGTGAAATGGGCTTTTTTCACAAATGTGACCAACATATGTCTTTGTTTATTTTCTGTTTTATCTTATGACCTCCTAAACAAAAAGTCTCTCCAATTTTGGACAAATAATTTTTTTCAACTGATATTAGACTAAATTGATTATCTTGTCATCAATACTGCATTACAAATCAACTATAGGTAGATTCCACTTCATCTCAATAATCCTGCACTCTTTCCGTCATCAGAAAAAAAAAATAAAAATAATGGGGAGAGACTGTCTATGACTTTTAACTGTCTCGCCGGGAACCCAAAAATCTGACATTTTTTTTCTCTCTTCTGTGTGGAAGATGTTACAGAGGAAAAAGGAACTTGGCCACCAGTAAGGTGCTTAAAATGAAGCTGGAGGAGATGTAAAGATTTAAATTTCATCTAAAAACTGTTTTTATGTTTATGGAGACAACTTCTGAACAGAGCGAGAGACTTCAGCAGATTTTGTTAAGGCTGATCATATTGCAGCAAAAGTGCTCTGTTCTATCCATTTTTTTTTCACAATGGTTGCTTTAGAGATTTATGGATGTTGGTAGCCATTTACATACCTAAAAGTTAAGGAAATAGATCTACCTTTTATGTTAAATAAAACATATGGCAGGTCAACATTTTACAAAACTGGATGGAGGACATCGGCCATAAAACTCTGTCTGGTACATTACTATAAAGCACTGGTTGCAACTTGAAGATTCATGACTTCATTCACTTTGCAGTTGGGGTTCTCATCTTACGAAACATATCTGCGTCATTTAAATTTTTTGGTTTAAGATGAAACAAAAATCTCTTGTTTCTCCTCTCATGGATAATTTTTTCTATAAACTCAGGAGTAATTTCACTCACTTTGTAAGACAGAATGTTGGCCACATTTGCTTCGATTTCTTAAACCCACTGATATTTGACCTTAGTTAAGAAGACCTATCCAGAAATCTCTACCGTTTGGTAGTTTTACTTTTGAACACGAGCCACAGATTTGTGAGACGAATTTGTAGCGCACTGCTGAGGACTCTGGTCAGTTCTGCAAAACACTAAACTCTTGTCAGAACAGGAAGGAATCCATATTCTGTGACACAAGGTTTTCTTTCTTTTTCCACAGTGAAGAAGTCTAAATAACAAATGATGATTTATCTAAATCCAACTAAATCTGATGTTAGGGGACCAGGTAAGGAGCACCTATATTATGATAGACAAGCATCGTATACAGAGCAAAGTAGCAGCTCCACCCCCTGTTGTAATAGGGAGGAGAGCCTCTTTTTACCTTAGGCATCGGCCCAGACTTGTGAGAGCACATGACTGAGTTGATCACGCACACTGCAGTACGTATGCACAGAGTGGAGTGACAGACTTTTTTGTTTTGTTCCTCAGTCTCGATCTCTGTCTTCGTGATCCATTGTGTCATAGGTAACTCGATCTGAGTCACAATCGGAGTCAACCTGGTGGAATCAAATGTGGAGTCAAGACAGCAGCATGTTCACAGGCACATCACTCAACTTTAATACCAATGGGGGGAGGGCTGTCTTCCTAAGATTATATTTTGATCAAGTCGAGATGACGAAGTTTTTGGTTTGGCCTGTATCTCGTATTTTCAGGCAGAGACGGGCCTTTACAAGCAACATGTAAGCTTCTTAAATAACTGAGCAAACACAAAGGAAAACAAACTCTGGTGTAATACTCATATTTAAGTGTTGAGAAAGGGATGGGTATCATTAGGATTTTGTTGGCATGAATACTAGAATTATTGCATCTGATAAAGGTCCCTTTAAATCGTTACTGTTTTGAAAATTTTACTGTTTCGAAACAACAGTCAAAACATAATAGGACTTACTTGTCACAATGCTGTGGAAGATACTTTAAAATTTGAGAATAGAACATTTAAGTAATATTGATGATAACTTGTTTGTCAGTAGATGGACGCATTTTATTCCATAGAGCTGATGTTGAAGCAATTACATGACGCACTTCCTATCCTAAAATAATCAGCTATGCAGACCCTACCTGTATGTTACTGTCATTACCCTCTTCCACAGACTACATAGTGTAGCTGTAACTATTAGTGAGCAAATAAAGCCTTGCCTGTCTGTAGACAATAGACTGACGCACCTCAGATGCTTTAGGTCCCTCTTATCACTGGATTAAGACCATTGCACAGTATCCAGAACCTAAATCACATTTGAATGTTGCACTACAATGAGTCCTCATAATTTACATAACTCCTATATACATGGAAGGTTTCTGCACCCGCGCCATCAGTTTTAACCTTGGAAGAGGTGGAATGCTTCATCAGCTCATCAGAACGAAAGGACTTAGATAATGGCTGATTTCTGCATGAACTTCTGGTCAACGTGGAGATGGCCATCCTGCCAATATTTTAAACTGGTTGGGGCTGAGTGATTCTATATTCACAAGTGGAGTCAAAAAATAACTCAGAAAAAAAAAAAAAAAACTTCCTTTGCTCGTCCAGCATTTAGTCTGTCACAATCTGGAGAAGTGTGCACTTCTCCAGAACTGAGAACAAAGCACATATTGATCCCTATGTCAGGAGCCTAAACTCAAAATCCCCAGTGCCAAGAATTCTTCAAACATTTTTTTAGTACCGACAATCCGGTGTGAATGCAATGAGACTAAAGTATCTTTTCCTGTTTCAATTCTCTGATGGCCTGTCTCCACTGGTGTACACTGGCAACAAAATCTGGATAAGTTGCATGTTGCCACAATAAACCAACAAGATCTCACTGCCAAGTTATGTTTGAGTTCAAAACAGCGGATTAAAGCATACTGGGAAGACTGCTGAATTCTCCGAGTTCTGTCTGATTTTTAATGTGTGTGGAAAAGACCTGAGGAAGCCTAATTAATGAATTACAAGGAACACCAGCTATGTTACAAAGAAGGTTGCACATTTGTATTTTGCTAGACTGATAATCATCAATTTTAAAAGGAAAATCTTAAAAATTAAAATTACCATTTTAGGTATCTTTTCAAGATTTCTACATGATTTGAATCCAAATATCAACACAAGGAGAAAGTTTTAAAATACTGCAATGTTCATGTTATTTTGACATTTTTTCAGATTAAAGTCGTTCAAGTTTAACAGAGATAAGTTATCATTGAAATTCCTAATTGTGACATTTCAGAGCTGAAGAACAAGGAACTCAGAGCAGTTTTGTATCGGATCTTGATACCCATCCCAGATAAAAAGCAACGGAAAGCTGAATAATCTGTTGCAGGAGTATTTAGTGTCCATTTTCTCTTGAGTTAATGCGTTGTGGTCAAAAACATTTTACCAACTACTTTTCAAGATCTTAAAGGATTGTTTTCACTTTTGAAGGAACCAACTTGGGATATCTTCATGAGTTTAGTTCATTTCAATTATTCTTTAGGGAAATTAGATAAAAGAAGCACAACAAAGCAGAACAAGGGCATCTCTTAAGGGGACAGGACTAAAAAACTTGGCTTGAAAGTAAAGACAAAAAGAGCAGGGAGTAGCCACCAGTTTCCATTCGTAGCAGCAGCAGCTGAACACAGACCAATGGGTTAGGAAAATGTTATATGAGGGCACAAGAATGTAGGGAAAGTCAAGGTGAAGAAACAGAAAACAAATCTTCGATGTTGTTTGAGAACGTTATTAGGATACTGTCCATCCAATAAGAACGTACGACTGAAAACAGCTTGAATGTTTTGGAGTTTGGTGATCAAAAGAGGAATGTAGAAAGTTATCTTGAATTGATCTCTGCCTTTACGACCAACAAGTTCTCATTCAAAAGCACAACACTTCTTAAAGTGTTTAAATTATTTTTAGCCTGTTTTTATCTTCACCAAACAATAAATATAGTAATTTATTGCTCTGGTGTGAAACATTTTGTAGAGTAGCACTTATAAATAAACAGATGGCTTATTTGGTTTTTCCACTAAATGGTGACAAAGATAACAGGCTGTCAGAAAACGCAATGATTCAAGCTGAGGTTCAGCAGAGATGAACAACATCAGTTTGGGACATCAGTAAATAAAATACAGAGAATTGTTGAAGATGTTAACAGACTGAAGACCGGATGTTTTCGGATATTAAACTTAAATGAAGGAAAAACAGTAAATAGGAGGAAAAATGAAAGTGTTTCTGAAAGCAAAGGAGGGGAAACTGAAAAGGGACATGTTGCACATGTATTCACTGCACTTACCACAAGACACTTTCTGAGGTGCTGATGGGAGAGGCAGTGGCTGGACCCGTCTGCTTGTTTTCTTGGGCCTACGGCTCCAGCCATGTCCCCTCTTCTTCCTCCGCGTCCTTGTAGATGACCCAGGTGCTGGAGAGTAAATATCTGAAAACCCACAGAGCCTGTGTCACTACTTGATTGTAAGAAATGGGAAAAAATGGGACATTTTCGTTAAATGGCTGTTGCCAAAGTTGTTTCTGATTACAATTGCAGCATTAGCAATTGTATACACATTTTCAAAACAGCCTTAAAAACAAAAGTCTATAATATCATGTAGAAATAAGGACACCAGAGAGAGCTTTGAACTCAGTCTGTATGTTGTTGTCATGTGATGAAATGAGATGTAAATACTTTTAGAAGACACTTTATAAATATTAGCATAAGCAGAATGAATAATATCCTACAATAAAAATGACAGGTCAGCAGACTTACCAGTTGTTAACTGTTGTGTGAAGGATGGGAGTGGCATATCTGTCTCTCTGCAGCTATGCTGTAATCCAAACACCAGTTCTGTTTTATCCAATTCAAATCTCTGTCCAATTCGCTCTGGAGACACTGAAAAACAGATTCAAAATTAACTAACCAATAAATGAATGACTAATTCTGAGAGACTATTGCTGACTGATTACCTGTCCTCCTCTTCTTGTGGGACACAAATGGCAGCAGATCATGACGGGTAAGCACTCTTAAAAGTTGCAACAGTGGCTCCAGGTTCCCATCACTGAGATATCCTCTCTTCTCAAGCTCCAGCAACAGCTCAAGGCCACTTCTAAACTTCAAGCCCTCTAAAGGCTGCTGTGATCCGCTGGGCTTTAACCGCCTCCACGCCCTCAGCAGCTGTGGACTTGGAGCTACACCAGCGTCCTCTGAATCGTCTTCAGCAGGTTCAACTGTCCAGCCCGCTGGGTCAAGAGGGTGTTGTGCAGGGTAGGTTTCATTCAAAAGGAAAGAGAGAGCTTCAATGTCAGATTCTGTGAGCTGAGAGCCAACCACTTCAAATATCTCATGGAGAGAGAGCATCCCGTAGTAGTTCAGGCACTCGGTTTCGTCCCAGTGGAGTGAGTCCCTGATGGGGCGCCCTGGGTACTGTACTGCAGCCATGGTCTCGGTTCTACTGTGGTTCCTTCCCACGGTCTCCCTTATCTGAAAAATTTCAACAGGAAAGATACACAAATATTATTTTAAACAATAACATCTTTGGGCTACTCCATGGGTACCAAAAAGCCAAAATTTACTCAAATTATTATTTTTTTTTATTTATAACAATAATAAAGGTGAGTGTCATGCAGTGTTTTGGTAGTTTCCATGGAGCACAATTAGTTGTGGGAGTGGTGACGGTGAGAAACAAAAATAATTTGTGGTGCACAAAGCTTGTGCAATTTTATGTACATTTTTATTTTTGCTGCAGTTTGCCTTACTGTTTTTATCTGCATTATTTGTTTAATTAGCAAATTTTCTAAACACAATTTGCGTCTAGTGACTCAAATTCTGGATTCAGACCACGGTCTTATAATTAAAAACAGAGGAAAAACCCCAAAAACAAACAAAAGACACATGAACAGTAAATGCTGGTTTTAACATGTCAGAGATGGGATAGACCACATGCTGAATTATGAAGGATTAACAACTAACACTAAACTAGCAGCAGATGCTAACAGATCAAGTTATGGGGTCATTTTAATAAATAAAAATTTCATTAACAGTTCATTTATTTCAGGACACTGAATTCAAAAAATAAAACTTGTATATTGGCTCTGGATCACGTGGTTAGATATTTTAAATATTAACCTATCTATTTCAGCTAATCTCAATGCTTACAGCAAATGAAAACCCAAAGTCTTTGCTATCATAAAATCTGAATATTTTCTAAGTATAATAAAAAAAAGTCTTTTGTGCAGACGTGTTGATCAAACGAAAAACATTCTCATGTACTGGACAACATATGCCCCCATTAACTGGTATTAGGTCTGGTGTCTCATCTTACAGTTGACAATACAGCATAGATTCTCTGTAGATTTTAGATCAGGGCAGCTTGGTGGTCAGTCAAGTACCACTGTAATTAAAGCAGGTTGTGTCCTGGATCAAGTTTGTCAGAAGAGAGGAGCTTAAAGTGCTCTATAACTCCTGGTTGATGACTACTCTGACTTTAGACATAATACAACACAGCAGACCAACACCAGTCCGGACTTGGGACCTACATTTAAAAAACAAAACGTACTTCAACATGTCTTAACCACGTTGTCCTCTGTTGCAGGTGTAGCTTAGCATGACAAAATGGCAATTTAACCATGTCACGGATACATCTTCGTGTGGCGAGTCTTGATGTTCTGACTCTAGCTAATGACCACGCCTTGCCAATACTCAACTCTTCAATTGGCTTTTGGTTCCCCTCTCCCGCTATTGCATCATAGGTTTTCCTTCCATCCAGTTTTCCACTTATACCCTTGGATAAAGCACTCTTTGAACACTCAGCTTCATGAGTAATGGCATTCTGTGGGCTATCCTATTTGTGTCAATAGCTGCCTGCTGAACCACTGTCAAGTCAGCAGTCATTCATGATGATGTAGGCAATAACATTTCTGTGTTGAAGCTCCTTTTTCACATTGTCATTATAATATATCCTAGTTTTCTGGAGAATTAAATTGAGGTTTTTCATTCACTGTAAACCATACTCATCGAAACTTACAGAAATAAACATTTGAAAAGCATTTCTGTGTGCAGAATTTTTATTAGCTTTTTAATGGTACTCTAATAATAAGAAGCTCATCTACTTCATAACGGCCTAGCATTAGTCACCGGACAGTACTGCATAGAACTATAGTATATCGAGGTCTGAGGATTTACCTTTTATCGTCAGTAGCTCGACGCTGTTTCGAGACTCGCCAAACAAACGGCCAGCTGTGACTGTTAAACTGTCGCTTTGTTCAGCAGAATGCAGCAAAACGCTAGAAGCCAAATACAAGTTGTCCTTTCTTCTGACGCCCAGCAGCAGCGCTGATTGGTGGAGCCGTGTGGTGGTTTATGTAACCCGTCACGTTTTCTGTTGAAAAAAAAACCCCAACAACAATGCTTTCAAATTTAACAAAAATGTTTCGTATGCTTGAGAGGCAAAGGTTAGACCGACAGGCATTTAGTAGGTTGTTAAATATGCATCGGTCCTTTGCTAGCAGCCGTTTTCTATCGTTTGTGCTAACCGACATCACGTCTATAACATTGCCTGACTCTTGTCATGGAAGCACAGTTTTGCTAAGGAATAAAGAGCGTGCTCTGAAGTATTTGAAAAAGAGTAAGTCTAAACACTTACTCTTTCAGTAAAATAAAATACATAATTCATACTTACAGTTCCTTTGTTATTTCTCCTCTTCCGCTGGAAAATCTAGCAACTTCCACTGACCAACGTCTACGGTGACGACAACACGTCAACGCTGCGAAAACGACCAATCATATCCCTCCGGCTTGACGGATGATGTAAGATCACGTTTTTACGCCACTGATCTGCGGTCAGTTCTTTGTGCGATCTGTGAACTGTGAACAAGGACAACGGGCACCACACAGCTGATCTCATGGGTGTCGCTTAACCTACAAGAATACATATTGTAGAAATACATTCAGATATGCATTTCAAGTTAAAACACACATGAAAAGATGATATTAATACGAACTTGTCTTTATTCTTTGAAGCATCCCGTTTTCAATCAGGTTCATAGTGTGGCCAATAGGTGGCAGTGTGGTGCATCAGAATACCAAGATGTTTTTTTCCCCCTTTCTCGCTGTGGCCACATCACATCCGTGATCCTGAACAGCAACAAAAAGGAGGAGGTTGTCTGATAAAACTTTTTCAGTGAGTACCTATATTTTGTTTTAAGGACTGTATGATGTACAATTTTAAATGTTCTTTAGTCGTCAAGATCGCATATGAGTATCTGTAAAGTGTTTTGATGTTGTGATAAGCTGTCCGCTTGGACTAGAGTTGACGTAAACGTTAGCAAAGAAGCTACATGTTAGTTTCTTGAATTTCCGGTAAAGTTGTGTTTTTAAGCGTATATTTATGGACATCACTTAACAAAGCGACTCTCTAAATAAAAATACCATTGCTAACAATAACAGATTCATGAATATCATGTTTGTTGAGTGATGTGGTATTGACCAGGCCCTTTTTGATTGTAATTTTCCACTGCCCTTCTACTAACAAAGTATTCAGCCGATGTGAGCGAACAACAGTCTTTTCAAATACTTAATGAAGTAAGTTTTCTCTGGTGTAAATTTAAAAGCCTTTGGATTTGAGAGCGATCTATTAATATTGTTTTTAGGCTTTAGCATAGGTGTAGTTGCCTGAAGGACAATTCACCATATGCTTCATTTCTTATGAAGTTTTAACCACCAAATTTATTGTATAGTGGGTTCTAAAAACATGTAAGCTATTTTATTTACATTTGCATATTGCTTTAAATAACTCTTCTCCCTCTAATAAACTTGAGCTGTCCAGGGTTTGTCATGGTCTTCCAAACAAATTTTATAAATAAACTAAAACAATTATTTTATTTCTACACATTTTCTCCCTGTTGGTTCAATTAAAAAAACAACAACAGGTAAAGTAATTTGAATGAGCTAGGGCGGTGGTTCTCACCTTATGTAACAAGTACTGCCAGGATAAATACTAGAAATACACCAATCTGTCAGCCAGATGTAGCAATTTTTTTTATTGATCACCAAGTCAGATATAAAAAAACAAATTATATTTTTCCTATTCGTTAAGTTTGGAGAATATTATTTCCTGGTACTACTGTAATAATTAACATTTGAAAGAACAGATTTGGACTTTCTCACCAAATGTCAAAATCCAATATGGCCGCTTCACTTTTTAAACTTTGCAGTAGCTGTAGTAATGAAGTGTTGCTTTGCATCTGTAGCTAATCCTTATTTCCAATTTATCTTATACCTAATGTGTTGCCAAAACTGGCTTGTAATAAATGTTAACTTCATGATATATTGAATTGCAGTCACCATTGAAGCATATGTGCAATTTCACAATCCCAAAAGTCTCCTTTGACGTAATTCTAGGTTGTCAGTTATATTTCATGTGCTTTGTATTCGTTCTCCACAGGATGTGAGTTATATGGGTTTTGATCCTCTCCCCGATATAGAATTTAGTGTCTGAGATGTGAATACACCTACTGATTTACATGAAAAGGAAAATATTTATCACACCGTATAGCTTCATCACAATATTCAACAAGACCATGTTACACTTGCATGTTTTCCTACTATAGTGCAGCTCTTTGCGAACTTTCTTGATATTTATTCCGTAAATATCAAGCAATATTTTCTGAGTACTTCTAAAGGGAGCCTAAGTACCACCACCCAAAAAACTACCTCTCACTTTAAAAGTCTTTATTGAAGCAATAATAAAGACTATTGTGTCAAGAGGAGGAAGGCTTTTGGTTAGCAGCTGCTTGGTGATCAACTTATTATTGCAAACGTGTTCAATGTTTAGTTCCATTTTTAAATCCTGACATTTTAAATCCCTTGAAATCTCCTTTCAGCAGGAAGTCTTGAGATGTCCTCAGGTGCGCCAAAGGGAGAGAACTGCCTTGTGGACATGGACAGCAAGGCTGGAGATCTGTTTGGTCCAGAGGATGCTCATCCGACTGGAACGGGGGGTAGCGGCGCTGCTGGAGTCCTGGCGAAGTAAGAGCCTTTCACTTTAGATTTTTTCATCCTGAAAATAACAGATTATTTCAATACTATTACATAGGTTGTTATTTTCATCTGTATTTGACCTTGCCTTTACTTTCCAAAGGCTGTGGCTTCCCAAAGGCCTCTCAGTCAGCGTGGCTAAAGAATGGTTTGACCGCCGCAGGATGTCCATTCGACCGTGGGCCAGTTTTGTCGACCAGCGGAAGTTCTCGAAACCTCGAAGCTTCGGAGAGGTCTGCCAGAGGGTGGTGAAGAACGTGGAGGTTTACAACAGCAACTACACCTTCATCTTTCTGGGTCTCATTCTCTACTGCATGTAAGGCCTCAATGAGTTGGATCAGTGTTGGTTTAATCTGAAAAAAAAAATAATGTTCACCTCCTATTCTCATATTAGCAGTTTTATTTCTGTAGTTCTGTGTGACACAAAACACATTTAAAAGCCATGAGATAAGAATTGCTACTTTGAAATCTGAGAGCGATTGACTTACTTGTGCTCCTGATCCTCAGCATCAGCTCGCCCATGCTGCTGATTGCCTTGGCTGTGTTTGCTGGTGCCTTCTACATAATCCATCTCAAGTCTCTGGAGTCCAAGCTGGTTGTTCTTGGTGAGTAAAGTTGGCATAAAATGAAGTTATGTATTTTTTATTTATTTTTTTTACCCGTGTTCCTTGGATGAATTTTATTTCTCAGACTTTCTTGGAAGCGTGTAGTCGTTTTATCATTAAGTACAAGCCCAATCAGTCCTGTACTAGGCAGAACAAACCTGCACGTGCAAAGCGTATCGATTTGTTTTCTTTGTGCTCTCTTGTTCACCAGGTAAAGAGCTCACCGTCCCCCACCAGATGAGCTTAGCTGGAGCCATCTCTCTGCCCGTGTTCTGGTTGGCAGGAGCCGGCGCTGCTGTTTTCTGGGTTTTTGGTAAGTCAAACCACGTCAGTTAGGTTTCGCCACATGTTGCCGATCTGCTAGCATTAGTTTGCTGGCAACTATTGCCAGCAGAATATGTGGTACTGTACCCACTGTACAAGTTTATTCATAGCTTCAGTGGCCGTGCTCACAAAATCTGAGACGTTAAAAGGTTATTCAAAAGAGAAATGCACACTTTTTTTCAGGTGCACCACTCCAAGAATTACAAGAAACTAAAACACTTAAGCAAAACTTGAAACTTTGTTTTAAGTCATGCAGGTAAAGCTGTCGTGCTTTACCTGCATGACAACCAATGCAGACACAAACATCCCTATATTCATACTGTTTTCATCTCAGTTAAATCACAGATTTCCTCCAGGAGATGTACAGTTTTCACTCCATTCAGTCTCCAGGCATGCTATTCTGTCTGCCTAAACACGCAGGGCACCTCAGTGGTTGCTTTGTACAGCCGATGGCACGTTGATGCTGCCAAGCTCTCAAGTTTTCAAAGCAAGTTAATGATGAAAAACTATCAATACACTTTAATCTAAAATAAACGTGCTAAAAACTTGTGCTGCTATTCATCATTTTGCACTAGTGTGGAATAATAATGATGCTTTGGCACAACCTAATTTTCTCTGCTGCACCTCAGGTCCACACTGTTGCAATCTGAAGCCTGGTGTGGGAATAAGGCCTCCCGGCCTACGCTCACAGACAAAGTGTTAAATTTGTTGTGTGAGAATAACTTGACACCCAAATGTGTGATTAATGAGGGCCGTTGAATTTTTATGAAGTTAGCTGAGTTTTTTTTTTTTTTTTTTCCTGCTAATATATTCGGTTTCATGGACTGTTGTTGTTTTATTAAAAAAGCTCGACATATTCTCTGTCCTAAAATACATTTTTGTCTCCTCCCAGGAGCTACGCTGTTTGTGATTGGCTCCCACGCCGCCTTCCGGCAGCTGGAGGGAACGGACTTGGACGAGCTCCTCATGGAGCCCGTGTGACGACCCGGCCGAACTCGAAGCAGCTGCTGATTGACGGTTGGGCGTCTTTATGACCCAGTGATTGCACCAGCCTTCAGGTGTTTGGGGGAGAAACTGCTCTGAAACCTGTTTCCAAGCTATATGTGTGTCTTATATTCCAGGTATTTAACATTATGGCATTTATCAACGCACCTTAGATTGCGTCAAAGAACTGTTGTTACACTCTTCCATGTACATAGCTGGTCATATGCACAAATCATGAATTTCTTAATAATCAATTAAAGCACATTGTGAGATGATGGGCCTTGATCTGCATATTTCTAACCTCTTTTGCCTCTGCTTTGTGTCATGAAGCCTCTTGCTCCTTACTGATGTACTCGCCATCTATAAATAGAGCTTCTGCAATGAACTCTCTGCTGTAGATATTTATAAACTGCTGTTCATGTGTAATTTTCAAAGGTAAAGTGCCATATAAAGCTTTAAAATGCCTGTTTTTATTGAATAAAATGTTAATTTGAGAAAAGCTCCTGGATCATTTTCAGGGTACTGAAGGCCTGCTGTGTTGAGTTTCACCGTTCTCACAGTGTGAATATTTAATCAATCTGCTTTGAACGTTCAGCTAATGAAAGCATGTTTCAGAAATGTACCGTTTGTTTACGTGTGATGGAAATGGTGTGGTTTTTTTTTTTTTTTTTTGTATTGGAATTTTTGGAAGTGCAATAAATCCTCGTTACTGATTGGTCCTTAAACAGCACGGTAGTCTTCTGTTTGTACATGCTTGGCAGCGCTTTGCGTCGAACTTTGCGGCCCTCAGAACCCCGTCTGTACCGTTCGGTTATTATTCCGGTCCGGTCTGAATGCACAGTGGAATAAAACGCCATGAATCCCTGCTCGCCCTCTCTCTCTCTCTCTCTCTCTCTCTCTCTCTCTCTGTCTTTCTGTGCATCTGCGGCGCTGCAAACTGCACCGTTAACAGACAACCTCCCTCCTCCCACCCCCTTCTCGCTCTCGTTTCCCCCCCATTGTTCCCCCCTCTTCATGTGACCCCTGTGACCTGTGCTCTCTGACAGCACAGCCGAAGGACCCCATGCACTGGTTGCCATGGCAATGACCTTGGAGGGCCCCAGCCAGACATTCACCCGTCCACAGGAACACTCGCTTACACACTGCGGCAAAAGCCGAGCGATCGATATTCTATTATACGTCGGGGCGGTGGGAAGGAGGGGGAGCGGGTGGGGAGTCGCACTGCAGTGAGCTCACTGCAGAGACACCAGGGAAATTAGAACAAGGGTGAGAGTGAGAGGGTGTTTGTCAGCGAGAGTGACACAATGTGTGTGTGAAAGGGAGCAGGTTTGGCGGTGGAGCAGTCGCTGAAAGTTTTTGCTTCTCCGATCTTTGCCACAGCTGGCAAAGTATTGAAGTAACCCGTTCTCTCAGGTGATGCAGAATTAAACCATGCATGGCTTCCTGTGCACTAGATGATCTACAGGAGGTTTATTTAAAACAGATGACCTCTGAGAGGCTACAGCCTGAAGGTAGGGGCTTCAGGAATGCAACCTTTTCTTATTCTTGAGCCATGCTGCACCTCCACAATGCTTATTTTTATTGTTTACAATAATACTCAGTAATATCGTCTCTTACTGAAGCTCATATGTTGAAGTCAGGTGAGGCTGACATGTTCAGGTTTTGGTGCATTACCCTGGGCTGCTGCCAACTCTTCCCCTACAGCGATGCATTAAGATCAGAGACACCAGGTGGCTCTTTTATCCTCAGATTCATTTTAGGCCATTTCAGCTACAACCACTGCTACATATCTGCACCAAATCTACATTTATGTCATTAAATAATAATAAAAACTGAGTGGAGGAAGAATTAATGTGAAATATGAATATATAAGGACAACTATACTGCTAAAAGAAATAAAGGGAACATTTCACTTTAATTTTGTGTGTGGCTCCAAATCCAGGCCTCCATTGGTTAATAAATTTGATTTCCATTGATGATTTTTGTGTGATTTTGTTGTCAGCACATTCAACTTTGTACAGAACAAAGTATTCAATGAGAATATTTCATTCATTCAGATCTAGGATGTGTTATTTGAGTGTTCCCTTTATTTTTTTGAGCAGTGTATATTCAAGTAAGGGCGAAATATGTATCAAACGTAACAGAAGAACTTTTTCACTATCTGGTAAAATTTGGAGTTTGATTAAATTGTTTTCCAGGTTTGGAAATGTACTTATGATTATAAAATAGAGTAAAAAACGTTTAAATATCAGGATTTTATCAATCCTACTGCTTCCTACTAATTTTTTTTTTTTTACTGCTTCCACACCTGAAGCGATGTGTAACCTGGTTCACCATGAGCTAACAGTGAATTTAAGTTCATCCATAAATTTATATTAAACTTTTGTGTTTCTGTTTGGAAAACTTCACTCTGGAAACTGGAGGCATTTCGACATGAAAGACGCAGGAAGTCAGTGACACAAAATCAAAGCCAAACACGCAGGTTTAGGTTGTATTAAATGTTCTAGATGTTTTATTGGTGTTGGTTTCATTTATTTGACACACAATATTTCTACAAGTTTTGTATGACTGTATTTTTTTCTTCTTCAATCTCATCCCTTTCTGTGGTCTGGGATGGACCCAGCTGAGACTGCTGGCCCCCTTCGACTGGTCTCCAACATGCAAGTGTGCACAGATCCGAGCCGGACTTATTGGGATCAGGACCTGGGGCCTGTAAGAAGGGCCCCGGGCGCATGGACTCATACTGTCGCCACTCGAACTACATCGCAGCACACTTTCACCACATCATACCTGCACACATGCCTTGATGGGGAACCTGAAGCCTTTTGGTTTGATAAACACAGCCTGACACCCTGCTTCGCTGTTACACTGAAGATTAGCCTCTTGAGAAACCAGCAAAAAAAAAACACAACAAAAAACAGAAAACAAAGAAAATACAAAAAGAGAGACACAGATCCTGACCAAAAGTGTTTATGCTCTTCATGAATGTCTCTCTTGCATTGCTTTTCAACATATTTTCAACATATTTCTTTTTTATTGTCTCATTTAAATTCAGGAATAGAATTATATAGATTTCCTAGAGCACACAGAAAGATTGAGTCGATTTACCAACTTGGGGTGGAGGGGATGTACTGTAATAGTTATTAACAACGACAATGGTTCACACTGTGCACACAAACAGAGACAAATGGGGCAGGAGGGAAAGGGAGAGGAGGGCTGTGAGAGACAGAAGGGAACAAGAGGGAGGACAGGACGCCATGAGATGTGCTTTGTTAAGCCTAAATGTGGAAAAGCTGCTCTCACACACCTTCTCTCCCGTATCAGAGATAAAAAAAAAGACAAATAAATCATCAAAATCCCTCCTGCCCCCACATATTAAAAAAACAACAACACTGATTGTGGAAAACAGATGAAACGAAAAATAAAAATAGATGTAGTGAGATCGTCGGGGAGGTGACCACTCTGCGGTTCCTCCACAAACAGGAGACAGAGGCGAGAGGTGGCAGTCGAAGTGGTGGCCGGCGTTTGGGATCACTCGGTGTGATTTTTTAATCTGTGTGTGATTGGAGGACAAGCAGAGGGCTGCTGGCGAGGAGAGAAAGGAGATGGGCCTACTAAAATACAGAGGGGATGGGAAAGAGGGGACAGGAAGCTGGATGGTCCTTTTTTTGCAGAGCATAGACACTCCATCTGTATCTTCAGCTCATTCAAATCTACATACACAATATGCAGCTGCCGTTTGGTAGATATATTGGTTTAAGTACACAGCAGTGAGAGAACACATGCAAAGAGTATCATAGGAGGTAAGGAGAAGGGGCGCAGGGCAATGTAGAAAGTTGTAAAGGTGCTTTTGCTGTTTTTAATCTTTGGGGCAGCTGTGATGGAAATTGCTTGAAAGCGGGTTTTGTCTTTAAAAGGGGGGCAGAGGGAATCTGGAGATGAGTCTTGCCGAGGATGAAGTGAAGGGGAGAACGGATGAGTAGAAGATGTAAAGGGGCTCGAGCAAAGGTGCTCCACTGATCAATAATATGTCTCCTTCTCCACCCAACCTGCAGCACAAACAAGAAAAACACAGAGAAGTTCACACTTGATGTTAGAAACATTTCAGGAAATGTGCATATTTGCATTCTTAAATAGCAACAACAAAAAGAAAACAGGTTCATCTGAGTAAATTATAGTTGAAAAGGTAATTTATTTCAGTAATTCAATTTAAAGGTGGCATGCTGATTCATGATTCGCAAAGTGATATGGCTCAAATGTTCATCTCTGTTCACTTTGATAGTTATGACACAGCTGATGAAACACAATATTTAATTTCCTTGAAATTTACAATAAAGATTTTAATACAGGAACATTTTTGCCTTCACAATCATGGTAAACCAGCAGGGCCTGTCACTGCCACCATCAACAAGAAAGGTAAGCCATAAAAGGTCAATGTGAAACATGCTGGTTGTTCACAGAGGGATGTATCTAAGTATATTTTGAAAGAAAGTTGAGTGGAAGGAAAATGTGTGCTAGAAAAAAACTACACATGGACAGAGAAGACTGTAGCCTAGAGAGGATTGAGAAGCAAAGCTAATTTGCAAGTTTGGAGCCATTGAGGTCAAAATCTTCAAGAGCCTCTACAGAAAGGTGTATCCTGGTTATGCTCCAATATTCCTGTCACATTCCTTATTTTAAGCCACTCCAGATTCAGAAATGTCAGAAATAAATCTGGAGTAAAGGAAAGAGAGAACAGACTGTGTAACTCTGTGATCCAAATATGAAAGTAAATTTTTATTTTATTTGAAAGTCATGGAATACTTCTTAAACTCACTATTGATATGTTTTTTTTTTTTGTTTAATGTTTTTAAATGAATAAATAAAAAATGTGAGAAGCAAAGACTTATGACCTAATCTGGAGTGAAATATTTTATACTAAATTCAGGAAACAACAACAACAACAAAAGGCTAAAAATAGAAGAAAAGCTGCTGGGAAAATGGCTTTGACCTTTATCAAGAGCACACACCAGCTTATTCTGACAACGGCTCTGCAGAACGTGACCTGCCTTTTTCTCTCCACTAAGAAACACTCCTGAACCTAAAGGACACCTTCTGGGTGGAGAGAAGAACCACTGTGCTTTTGAAAAACTCGCCAAAGAACAATTTCTGCACAACTTCAATCTTATGGAGAAGAACACAAAAGCGCGAAAATGTAAATCTCATATTTTCCTTACAACCAAAACCTTTAATAAGAGGGAACACAGAGACTTACCGCCAGGGTTCCGACGGAGGATAAGTTTTCGTACTTCATCATAAACAAAGATGAGGAAACTATATGGGAATGCACAAAACCACCAGGAAGGCCTGCAAACAAGAAAGGAATCATAATCAAGCAAGCAAGAAATATGTCAGGTCTTAGAGCGAAACCTTGGTCTCTGAGACGTACTTTAGAGGATACATCCTGAGAGCCACATCCATGCCAGGGCAGTAGGACAGGAAGGCAGCCAGGGCAGTTTCTTCGAACAAGCCGAAGATCAAAATCTTGTTCCTGAGCGCAGAAACGCAGCAAGTATCAGTAAGAACAATTCATGAAGACTTTTAGACATGCTTATGTGTAGCTCCAGCACTCACCTCATGCCCTGCTGGAACACAGAGTTACGTCTGGTCTTGCAGATGATGAGATCGGCCCACTGCACCACCACGATGCTGACAAAGAAGGCTGTGTGACATGTAAACTCGACAATCTTCCTCTGTTCGTATGTCTGTGTGAGGAAGGAGACGACAGAGAGTAAGACCAGCTGGCAAAATATGAAGAGAGATACCGAAACTACGGTAGAAAACAAAAGCACACGTACCCACTGCTGGCCGTAGCTGTCCTCCAGGTCGTTGCAACTGCGGTCATCCCAGTCGAGTCGGATGCCCAGAAGTCGACTGGGCAGGAAACCGTTTTCAGCCAGGATGACAAAGTAGCTGAAGAAGCCTCCCAAGGCCTGGATCATTCCTGTGGAGGCAGACAGGTGGAAATAATGTAGACATGGTTTATGTTCAACAAGTAAGACTAAAATAAGGTTTTATTAAAATAAATACTTCCAGGTAATCCATCTAAAAGAAGCCTAGGCATGATTTACAGTTTCAGTAGATTTATTGATATCAACAAGTCTATTTGTGCTCCAAGCCCTTCATACTATCTGTATAATCCACCTAAATACATGTTTTATTAGCCAATTAGTGTTGCAGTTTTGAGAATTTTAAAAGACAATAAGTAAAGATACCCAGAATATAATTTGTAGTTTATTTTTTCATCGTTGTTGACACCTTCATGTTTTGGTCCAACAAAGATGTGTTGTTGTTTTTAAAGTCAACCAAACGATCTTTAATTTCATGTTTCAAGAATTTAAACTGAAAATTTACTGATTTGATAAATTAGCAAAATCCAAGCTGTTTCAAAAAGTTGGAAATGATTTACAGCTGAAGTTCAGGATTTATTCATAGTGTTTCATGTGAGGGGGAATTAAAACCTAACATTTTAATTTCGGAGCAAAATTTACCTTTTCACTGTTAATGGTGAGGATATCACATTCAATAGGAATGAATGTGACCTTTTGTAGAATAAAGGGCCTATTATAAGTAATTTAACCGGCATTTATTCTAACCAGTAAAACAGAATTACATTCACTAAATATGTTTTTTCTGATAGATACATAGAAAAATCTAACTTTTCAGAGGTTTAAATGTAAATATAGTCTATAGCAAATCACCCCATAATTTTAGCTGTCTTGATTTTTAACTTTCAAAGATAATTTTGATATCATTTTAAAGTTGTTTTGATACTTCTTCAGACAATAGCTTATATTTACATACAATTCTTGTGAATAATTGCAAGTACACTTAGTTTTAGTCTCTTTTTGCGCACCGATTTGTCCGTAAGCGATGCTGATGAGCCTCTCATTTACAAGCTTGTCTCTGAAGGGGTTCCTGGGTTGACGCTTCATGATGTCGCTCTCAGCTGCTTCATAAGCCAAAGAAATAGCTGGAACCTATCAAAGGAAGAGTAAGAGATAACCTTCAATACTGCACAGCTGTTTCTAAGTATATGTATATAAATTCACACTGTCTGGCTTTAATAGCCCTCACCATGTCAGTTCCCAAATCGATGCAGAGGATAGTGATGGTTCCCAGAGGCAGAGGGATGTTGGCGATGATGAAGAACAGGAAGGGGGTGATCTCTGGGATGTTGCTGGTCAAGGTGTAGGCGATGGACTTCTTCAGGTTATCAAAGATCAACCGGCCTGATGGTGAATAAGTGGAAAAATCACATTAGACAACATTTACAATGGACATCTGGGCATAGAAATGCTAAAATGCTAAGCTATGTTCAAGATTCACACATTGACCAAAAGCCTTGGTCATAAACCTTCTGTCCTTTAGTCAGTACAGAAAGGAAAAACTTACAAAAAGTACTTTATGCTTAGTATGAATGTTTGATGCAAAAAGAAATAAAGATACTTTAAGCTGAACATTGTTTTTTTTTTTTAAAGTAATTTAAGATATAGATTAAACCAAACCTAGTTTACTGAGCCTAACTACATTCTGATTAACTGGCCCAGAATCAGATTGGTTAAAAGTTAAACCACACTTGGTTGACATAATACCCAAATTATGCTATTCTTCATTGATTTGTATATATTTTATTCATAAAGACTTCCCATCAGATTATGTTTTTCTGAAATCAAATTTTCCACCGTCTTCCATTATTTAAGGTTTCCATTATCAACACGTTATCGATCTCATCTCAGTCTCTCAGTCCTCTCCACTGAGCCTTCCCACCTTCTTCCACTCCAGTGACAATGGAGGCAAAGTTGTCATCCAATAAGATCATGTCTGCAGCCTGTTTGGACACATCGGAGCCTGAGATTCCCATGGCAACACCGATGTCGGCCTTTTTCAGAGCAGGAGAGTCATTCACACCATCACCTGTCACAGCAACAATGGCACCCTGAGAGAAAAGGCATGAGAACAGATGCTGAGATGATCTACTGGAACTGGATTTCATTTAAAAAATGGTCAAACTCAAACATTCTGAGAAGACTAAATAGTGGAAGTATTATTTATAATAAATGTGATCTTGTTTTTTTAAGGTATAAATACGATTATGTTTGACAGGTTGAATTTGTTTTCTGATGTAAACTGTTTAAACGATCTGAAATGCAACTAAAAGGTATTTTATTTATTTATTTAACTTCCTTCCTTTTGGCTGGAGATGTCCATTTACTGGACATCTAGCACCACCTGCTGGTGAACAAATATAACATGTCTGACACAGACTACTGTAATTCCAGACAGCACAACGTTTCTTATAAGCCTCTTCATTAAAACAATGTCAAAATGTCTCAACCTGTCTCTGGCATCCCTCCACAATGATGAGTTTCTGCTGTGGGGAGGTCCGAGCGAACACGATCTCTGTGTGATTCCTCAGGATGTCGTCCATCTGGTCCTGAGACAAGTCCTTCAGGTCCGAGCCATGAATCACGCAAGCTTTGGCATCCCTAAATGTAAACAGTAAACACTTAAGTTTTGTGGATACACCAGTATGCAAACAAATACGTTTTTTTTTTATTTGTTGTTGTGTATTATGTGTCTTTGTTGTTTATGTCAACGTGGATCATGAGTCTGTTGAATAAATAAATCAATCAAAAATGAATCATTCAGGTTGTTCTCTCACTAAAAGGTGCGTCCTTGCCTTCTGTGCATATCAGACAGCAAATGTTTACCTCGGGTTGACCTGAGCAACAGGTATGTTGAGACGAGCTGCGATGTCCTCCACTGTCTCGTTTCCCTCTGAGATGATGCCTACTCCCTTGGCAATGGCTTTGGCTGTGATTGGGTGGTCACCAGTGACCATGATGACCTACAACAGGAACCAATTTAATATTTTATCCATCCTTAAGATGCATCCAATCCAGTGATTTCGTATAACTCACCTTGATACCAGCGGATCTGCATTTTCCCACTGCGTCTGGCACCGCAGCACGAGGAGGATCGATCATGGACATGAGGCCTACAAAGCAAAGATTCTCCGTCTGGAAGTTAACATCATCTGTGTCGAAGGCAAAACCTTTGGGGTACTGGTCTTCTGGCAGGAGCAAGTGACAGAAACCTGCAGGGGAAAGCCAATTGTTACTACTTGTAATTCATTTTTCTTCACTCTGTCCATTTTAGAAAAGTGTAAACTATTCTTTGAGCACTACTGTTGACTTCAACAACAAATATCATCTATCTTCACCAGTATGGGTCCTCACCCAGGACACGCTCTCCCAGTCCTCCCAGCTCCATGTATGCACTCTGGAAAGCCTCCTTCATCTCCTCATCCATAGGCTGCTCTTTGCCCTGAATCACGATGGTTGAACAACGGTCTAGGATCCTCTCAGGGGCGCCCTTCATCACCAGCAGGTAGCGGTTGTCATTGGGATCCTCTGTCTCATGTATTGAAAGCTGAATGACAAAAATTGAGATTGAGATAAACCCTGCTGCGTAAGGCATCCAGTTCCTTTCAAAAGTATTCATACACCTTGAACTTTTCTGTAATTTGTTGCACTGCAAACACAAACTTCACAAAACAAAGTGGTCAATGTAAGTGTTGCATGCATTTGCATTTGCTTCTTCTGAACTGCACTCCTGAATAAAATCTAGAGGAATCAATGGCCTTCAGAAGTCACATGATTCATAAAAAGTGACCCTTTGTGTGTAATTGATCTCAGTATAAATACAGTCGTCTTCAAAGAACATTTGTGCAGTGAAAACCTAATCCTGCAAATAGATCTGAAAACACCATCCCCATGATGAAGCATGGTGGTAGAACCATTATGCTTTGGGTCTGTTTCTCATTAGGAGGAACAGGGAAGCTGATCTGTCTTCATGGAAAGCTGGATGGAGCTAAATGTTGAGCTAAATCTGAGTGGAAACATGGGACTGTGGAGGAAGTTCAGCTTCCAGCAAAATCCATAAACATACAACAAGAGCTAGATTTCAGGTTTAGGTCAAAACATATTCATGTGTAAAATTGACCTAGTCAAAGCCCAAAAAAATCCACATTACTTGATGTGGATCTAAAATATACATAAAGTAAAATAAACTGGAGTTCAAATGGTATGAATACTTTAGAAATGCATTGATAATATGATAATACAGTTAAACTAAAAAAAAAACAAATAGATGATGCAACTTAAAAAAAATTAGTTAATTTATTACAAGTAATCAAACTGAGTTTAACCAAGTAAATACTCAAGTTTATTAAGGTGTCATGTTAATCAAATGTAAATAGAGTAAGTTTGACAAACTCAATTAAATGACATGAAGCAAATAAACTAAACACCATTCTCTTGTTTCAGAGTGTAATAAAAGTTGTCCATAGGCATCAATATTGAGGAAAATACCCACCTGGTATTTGTTGGTGGAGTTGAAGGGGATCTCGGCCACTTTCTTGTTCTTGTCCCGCATCGACCTGACGGAGCCACAGGACAGCTCGATACATTTCAGCAGAGCTGACTCCGAGGCGTCTCCGGCCACGTCTCGCTTCAGGATGGGCACGGAGTCTTGGGCGGCTTTGAACTGCGCACGGTTACACAGAGCAGCAATACGGGACAAAGCCTGCCATGTTGCTGAGCTCTTGTCGAAAGAAGCACCTGAGGGAAGGATGGGAAGGACGGGATGGGTTAGAGCTGTGCAGCATGTTTTAAACGCCTGCGCCGTCTGTGCCACATGGCCTTTCCTCTCTAACCTGACTGATCCTCGGTGGTGTCGGCCTCATGGATCTGGTTGTCGAACCACATGTGGGCTACGGTCATCCTGTTCTGGGTCAGGGTGCCTGTCTTGTCAGAGCAGATGGTGGAGGTGGAGCCCAAGGTTTCCACAGCTTCCAAGTTCTTAACCAGGCAGTTCTTTTTCGCCATACGCTTGGCAGTCAGAGTCAGACACACCTGCAGGCACACACACATAACGTTAGCATTCACTGTATTCCCCTAAAATACATGAATCCAGAACCTCTGGACCCTTACAGTGACGGTGGCCAGCAGTCCCTCAGGCACATTAGCCACAATGATGCCAATAAGGAAGATGACAGCCTCCAGCCAGGAGTAACCCAGGATGATGGCCAGGATGAAAAAGGTCACGCCCAGGAAGACGGCCACACCTGTGATGATGTGGATGAAGTGTTCGATCTCCTTGGCGATGGGGGTTTTGCCGGTGTCCAAACCGGAGGCCAGAGTAGCAATGCGGCCCATGACTGTACGATCTCCGGTGTAGATGACAATACCACGTGCTGTGCCTGGTTAGACACAAAAACAAGAGCAACACGGAACCACATACTGTAAGTGACAAAAGTCATATCAGGGATCTCTACTTAAATTGTGCTTTTTCCTTAAGTTTTCAGAGGCAACAGTAGAGTCCTTTAAAAATATTGGTGCACCTTGTAAAGCCTTGTATGAACACCTTGAAATAAATGGTTGTAATGGAGATTATGTAACGCCAATATGCTGCTTTTTACTGCCGTTTTACTTTTTCTCCTCTTCCAGGCTCCTAACTGTAAAAAATAAACCTGGGTCCTCATTCAGATTTAATGGTCACAGGTCCAGTTTGAATCCAGAAGTGTCTAAACATTTAACCATGTGGGTCAAAATTATTCAAAAGTATTCATAGGTAACAAAATTCTAATTTATTTCCAAATTAAAAATACCAAATTTGTTGTTAATTCATTTTTATTTATACCTGTTAAACAAAAAAACTAATATGTAATAATATAATTTTAATAAAACTAACAAACAAAATTGACTGGTAAATTATTGTAAAAATGTTTGTAAAACAAAAAGAAAAGCTTTCAAACTTCCTAAATTTCCAGGTTAATTTCATATTTTCTTTCTTAAAAATGCAACAAAATCTTTATATACGTCGCAGGATGTTTAATGGTACTATATTACTAGTAAATATAGTAATTTTTTTACTATAACATTAAAATGAAAACAAACAAAAAAACATGGTAAATAAAATACAAAAACTTTGTGATGTCTCAAACCTTTTCCATTTTAAGAAGCTCTTAACTTAATATGCATCAGTGAAAACCTCTTTTTTTAAGTGTCCCTGTGAACCAGCCGCCTGTACAGAAGGGTAACATTTATCCAATTTTAGAATATTGATCGCTGGCTGCACTAATTTATTAAGAGGGCCGGAGATAAACCACAGGCCACACGTTGGAAACCTTGTATTAAATATCTAAATAATTTAATTAACTCTTAATATGGGCAAATTTAGGTGAACAGCTATTTTCTTGTAGCCAGTTTCATCAACTGCAAAGATCAACACACATTTACTTGACACATTCTTCTGTCTTTCCCATTTTGAAGCGTCCATATAATAAATTATCCTCTGTATCCCTCTATGTTTATGCCTGACACTCTGATCAGCTGGAAAAGTAAAACAGAAATGCGACACTGCATTGGTTTAATAATGAAATAATTGCTTTTGTTTTTGAGAAGGATTTCTATTCCTTAGAGGACATAATGTTCTCAAATTAAAGACCAGATTTTGTAATGTTTTTGCATGAAGTCACCAATAATTGTGGAGGTTGCTATAGATGTGCAAAATGACATAATTTATAGATCATTGTTCGCTGCCAGTACCTTCCACACAGTTGGTGGAGAAGAAAGCAATGTTGCGGGTCTCCAGAGGGTTGTCATGGGTGCAGTCAGGTGACCTGCTTTGTGGCTCTGATTCTCCTGTCAAGGAGGAGTTATCCACCTGTCGGAAAGCACAGAAATAGATACAAAAATGAATCAAAATACACTAAAACTGATATAATTTCAACTGTTGCACCGGTTTGAGTCTGTGTCTGTACCTTGCAGCCATGAGCAGAAATCACCCTGATGTCAGCAGGGATCCTGTCTCCTCCCTTCACCTCAATCAGATCTCCAGCCACAACTTCTTCAGCGTTGATCTGCACCTTCTCACCCTCGCGGATCACCAGCGCTTGCTGCAGGGACACAGGGTGGAGAATACATGAACATATAAATAAATAGATTGTGAGGAGCTAAAGTTGGTTTGAGAGCTTGAGGGCTCAAATTAAACCTTTATGGAGACATTAACTGCAGCTCCATCAGGATTTCCAAGTGTTCATTTTGTCTTTTTTTTGTAAATAAATTCATGCAATGGGTTTGTAAAGCACATTCTGTACAAATTTCCAGATACATGCTGTATTTCACTTGGATTTCTGTTGAAACACAGTGTTGTCACCATTATGCAGTGGGGATAATTTTCATCCGGAGGAACAAGGAAGATGATCGATATGACGAGAACAGTTTAATCACGAGACCAAAAAGCTGAGAAGTTGTCCTATTTTATTTTGAATAAGTTTGAATTGACAAACACTAACACTAGGTTTGACAAAAAATAAATTTGTGATTAAAAATCCATTTAATTTTTCAGAAATCTTTGATTTTGTCATCCATATTCGACTTTTCTTTATGATCCAGGCCATTATAATATAACTTTCCCACACTCAGCAGAAACTCTATCACTGCAAACATTTCACTCTCACAATAATAGCTTGTATTTTTCAAATTTGACAAGAAAAATTATAACGTTTCCTATATTTCCTGCATTCTTACCTGTGGCACCATGTTCTTAAAAGACTCCATGATTTTGGAGCTCTTGGCCTCTTGGAAGTATGAGAAGCAACCAGTGATGACGACTACGGCTGTGAGCACAATACCTAGGTACAACTGTGGCAGAGAAGAGACAGAGAAGCAGGTTAACATCTGCACAGGTGTGAAGAGCAAAGCTGCAGTGCGTGACACTAAACTCAATTAGTCAAGGTTTTATTTTTATTTGCTTCTTCAGACTCATGAGTGTGACGGAGGCGCCGATGAGGTGTAGCCGCTCCATATGTGGACGTGTTTATGTAGAAAAATGACGAGAGCTTTGCTCACATTGTCGCCTGCAGGGTCGTCCTCTGTGGCTGCCTGGATGGCGTAGGCTAGAAAGCAGAGAATGGCGCCGATCCACAGCAGGATGGAGAACCCACCAAACAGCTGGCGACAGAACTTGATCCACTCCGGGGTGGTGGGCGGAGGGGTGAGAGCGTTGGGACCATCTCGGATCAGAATCTCCGCTGCCTTGGCATTGGTCAGTCCCTGGGCAGAGAAGGGAGGAAGGATGCACGTCAACATCAGGGTGAACTGATTACAAAACACATAATCTTAGTGATTTTATAGTGACAATTGGGTCTGCATTTATTTTTGACTTCTCTAATCTAAACAAGGTTAAAATCATACAGACACATATTATGTCAGAAGCCTGTAAATGGCTGCAAACAGTGTAGTCAAGATGCAACTTGCTAAGAGATAATGAATCAAATATAAGTGAGGATAAGCATTTGAGCTTGTACATATAATTATGACTCCTTGCAGATTAGAGAAAAATACTTTTATTTTAGACTCCCAAGGCTAATTTTTAAAGTTATCTTATGGTAATTTGATCCTAAAATTAGAAATTTATCATAAAATAGTTACATTACAGTTGATTGAAACCTTTAATTTTCTGTGTGCCTGTATTTCTACTTGAGGACCATTCTCACTGCTGTATGTCATCTGAATCGGTCTGCTGCCACCTTGTGGTGAACCATGAAAACGTGACTCACCTGAACAATATCAGTCTGGAATTTTCTGCATACTTCCTCTACAGACATCTTATGTTCCGTCTGCAAAAAAACAACAACACAAAACAAAACAAAGACACAAAGAAACAAACAAAAACACCTATTAATACATTGCGATGTCAGAAATCGTGTGCCTTGTAATCATTTGTCCATGCAATATTAAGCAGAAACAGTCCTGAACGATAATAAATATATGGCAGGTTTTCTGTATTTGTAAAGCACCCGCATAAAATATTTATAATGGTACTCCATGCATGCAGTTCACCTGAGAGATTAGAGTCTTAAGGCAGCCAGGTATGGCAGCCCTGTTGTCTGTTTCTTGAGCTGAAATGTGGAGTCAAACTCACAGCATCCAGATAAAAAGTCAAATGCCTCTAATGGGCAAAACATCAACCTTTAGGCTTCTTCTTGCCAAAGAAAATACCTTCACCAAAGGCATGGAGTATTTAAAAAAATAAAAATAAATAAAATAATAATAATAATAATAATAATTTAAAAAATAACCCAATTGACAGGTTACAAAGTGAAATAATTTACAATATATTTAGCTATAAAACACACGAAGAGAAGGTTTTACTCACAATGGGCACTTCCTTCTTCAGGTCATCCATGTCCTTGGCCCCCTTCTTCTTCTTGGGGGATCGGTCATCTTTGTCCTGTGTGGTGGCAACGCGGTAACTGTCTGAACGTCCATACTACAGACACACACACATGTTTTACACATGCCCTCGGACTACACTGAGGAGAAAGCCTTTGTGTTTGAGTTTAGCTGCTCTCACATAAACTAAAGAACTCGACACATTGAGGATCTTTTCTATTTTTCTAGGAGTATCTATCATTCACAAACTGCACCAGAAATTAGGGATGATTGATCTTTTTCTACAAGTTTAAATACTCCAAAAACTATGTTGTAGCCTAATGAGGTGGCCTTGAGAGGTTCGGTAATCTCAGCTAGTGAGGAAAGTAAAAGATTAAAAACATTAATATATATATAAAAAATGCTATTCAAAGTGAAAACCAAAGGCGTATGCCTGAACATACCACTATTAAAAGAGCACTGTGAAGTCACATCAAAGCCTTAAGCTGTTGTCTCTGCCAGACCCATCTGGCATCCACTGATCAAATGCTCTGACAAACAAAACGCCCAGAAGGTCACACCACCACCTAATAGAGTGAAAATGGTTTAACCTGCTCCTTTTTATTTAATTATAAAGCAGGAAGCCATGAGGACATCAGAGGGAGGCAGAGCAGAATCCAAGGCTGCACACCGATCAAAGCACTTCTTCTTATGTTCGAATATGCTTTGTAATATTAGAGGCGAGCCGTTGCTGTCAAGATTAGTAAATATAAACCCACAGGACAAAAATCAGACTTTATCTTACAATTTCATTTTGACCTATTTATCCAGGTTGGTCAATTCTAAGTCTTATTTACCTGGCCAACATGCAGCTGAAAAGGAAGACACACACACAAAAAAAACTATTCTACACCTGATTTTAATTCAAAGTAGCAATGAACAAAATAAAGAACAAACAGAAGAGACCAGGAAAGATTAAAGTGCACAGCAAGTATAGTGACAAATTAAAAGTATTTGGCTTAATGCAGAAAACTGCATTTTCATACATGGGACAGCGTTTCGCAAAATCGTCCGTACCTCCCAAATCTTTCAATATTTAGATTTATGTATTTTAATACGATCCTCGTGAGTCTGCATCTTATAGAACCTAATTTCACTGCTGTAGTAGCTGCAGGTCTTTTGAGGCATGTCTCCACCTGCTTTGATCATCTTGAGACTGAAACTGTGGCCCATTCTTCTTTGCACAATAACGAATCCATAACAAGGGACGGACAGAGAGTATTTAGCATTTAGACCTGGACTTTAATGGGGTAATACATGAATAGGCTTCAGTCTAAGCGACTCTATTGTAGCCCTGGGTTTAGGTTCATACACACTCCTCCATCCCAGGGGTTTTCATCCAGCATTTCCTTTTCTAAAGTCTGACAGGCTTCCCAATCCCTGTTTTAGAAAAGCATCCTGCCACTACCATGTGTGGAAGTGGAATGATTTGTTTATGGTGACGAGCAGTCTTCATTTTCTACCTCACATAACATGTCACACATTGTTCTGAAAATTATTAAACCCATTTCATGATGCTTTTTCACCAGTATTTTCTAAGAAACATCTGAGGTCTTCATAGAGAGCTACATTTGTACTGAAACTAAACTAAATACTAGTTAGCTCAATTTGTACATTCAGCATCTTCAGAAGGCAAAACACTACACAGGATTTTGTTTTAGAGTGTTTGATTTAAGTTGTGTAAAATTGTGGAAAACATGTCCCATTTTTCATCCACTTTACAAATATCCACTGACTTCAAATCCTAATGCAATGCATTTTATTGGCATGAAGCTATGCATGTAAAAAAAACCACTGCTGGTTTCCCATGAACACTTTGGAGGGGAAAAAAAAATGTGGTTTTCAGTTATACTTCTTCCTGTGACGTCAACACTGTGAAACCAGTTTTTTTCCGCTAGACAGCCTCAGCGGATTGTAAAAGAGGAAGACTAAAAAGTGGTCTAATTATTAGTAATGCTCCTAAACCTCTGCACATTCAGTATTTCAGGCAGCTCAACTTGACAAAGGTCAGAGGTAACTAGAGACCTAAGGAGACAATGGTCGTCAGTGGAGCCCCATAATAATCTGATCTCATATACATTTTTGGATAATGAGAACAGAAAATCTTCTGAATTATACAAAAAAAGTATCTTGTAATAATAATAAAAATAATAATGTATAATTAAGCTGCCAAAAAGTCTACATTGACTTGACTAATTTTCATGGCTAATTCTTAATTTATTAATAATAATAAACTGGTGGCTAGTGCTCTAAATTAATTTAATCTGGCGCCCTCTAATGGTGACATTTGGAAGTAACCTCATCAAACAGCAGCTAACTTCCATTACCTTCAGAATAAAAAGCAGATTTGATCTAAAAGGTAAATCTTCAATGTGTGTTTATTTTGAAAATGTGCTGGTTTAATAGGTATAGGAGTGGGGAGGGTAGTATGAATTATGATCTGAACATTTTTCCTCTGTGTTGACCGACTTGCCCAAACAAACCACACCAAGCCAAACACACCTACACTGGAACAAAGAGCAACTTGCCCCTGCATCTCCCATTTGAATTGTAACTGTTCTGCCATTGTGCAACCCCTCTGAAATGAAGCCCCTGTGTTATGCAATTTCTTTCTTTATTTATTTTTTTCGGGCTCCAAAACCCTCCTCTCAGGTTTCGCTCCCCATGCACAGAGTTTTTATGACACCAGATATGCAGGACAATTCTCATTTAATTAAGCGGCGCCATTGTGTTGCTCAACGACCACATCTGAGCTGGGCACAAACAATAAAGCCCTTCTTTCGAGCTTGTCGGGCGGGGAGCAGCTCGTCAGCGGGAGGGAGACCGTTTGACCTGACTGCAAAAGGTACACACACTCACACACACTCATATGCAAACACACTGAGTAACAAGAGAGCAGGTAAGCAAATCTCTCACTGCAGCATGTCGAGGCAGGCCTGGTGATGAAGAGGCTGCACACAGAGAGACTGGTGTAGTGGAAAAGTACTGCTGCTGCCAAACCCCACCGAGACAGGTGTGTGAGTGTGTCCTGAGTAAAAAAAGAGGTGGGTGGAGACGTGCTGACACAGGTACATGCGTGTCATAATTTATGTGGGATATTATCTGTTTGGGAACAGGACCGTTGAACAAGAAGTCACGCAACATTATGTGTAAGAGTACTTCAACTCTTCAGCTCCAGTGATGGGACTAGCAGGCGTGTTTCTGCCTTTTTATTGTTCTGCCTCATTTTTCCACAAACAATAACTGAACAGTACAAACAGTCCTGTCAGCAGCCTACCTGCTCTTGTATGTGCTAAGGCTGACTGAGACACAGATATCTAAAAGCCACACGGTTTGCTTACACAAACCGGTCCGAACAACAGAAGTGATCTGAAAGGGAGAGAGACTGATGTGACGAAGCGGATGACAGACAGGCACATGGAAGAGGAGACATCAGTGGGAGGTGAGAGGAAAGCAGGTGAAGAGAGGATGGGGGGGGGGGAGCACCAGGAGGCGTGGGTCTTTCAGGAGTCTAATTAAATATTGAGTGTTTTGACCCACACTGACGGCACTCTAACAGATCTCAACATCATGGACTGCTAATAAACCATATTTTTATGTCAGGTTATGCGTGCCTGAAGGTGTTATTTACAAATAAGAGTGAGAGTGTATTCGTGAGCCTGAGTCACAGAGAAAGGAAACGTGGCCAGCTTATCCTCGTCAGTTTACTGAGTAAGATGTTTGCATAGTGACTGTTTGATTGGCAAAGAGGAAATATCAGAGAAGACATTTAGCAAGATGAACAATAAACTGTGTATGTATCTACAGCTCTGGAAAAACATTAAGAAACCTCTTAAAATGATCAGTTCTCTGATTTAACTTTTTATACGTATATGTTTGAGTAAAATGAACATTGTTATTTTATTCCATGAACTACTGACATCATATCTCCTAAATTCCAAGCAAAAATGTATTTATTTGCAGAAAATGAGAAATGGTCAAAATAACGAGAAGATGCAGCGCTTTCAGACCTCCAATAATGCAAAGAAAACAAGCTGATATTCGTTTAAAAACAACAATACTAATGTTTTAACTCAGGAATCAATATCTGGTGAAATAACCATGAGGTTTTCCATGGGGTTCAGTGCAGTGGGATCTTCATTTTCTCATCTGTATATGTCTTGCAAAAGTCCTCATATTTTTTCACATTACAACAATCCTTGTTGTATTTTATTGGGATTTTATGTAATAAACCAACAAAAAGTGTAGTAGATTTATGAGGTGTCCTTTTATCGGATGTAAAATCTCAAGCTTTCACATCGATTCACATTTGGATTTCGGTCCAGGTTTTAACTAGGCCATTTTAACATGGGAATTTGATCTAATTTGATTTTATTGTAGCCTCAGTTGTATGTGTAGATCATTGTCCTGCTGTAAGGAGAAGCCTCAAACTGTCCCCACAGCATGATGCTGCCATCACCATGCTCTGTCCATTTTTAATGAGTTTATGCTGACAATGTAACAATGTTTCTCCACAATCAAGTGGGCTAGAAAGATTTTTTATTGTATTTGTCCATACAGGTCAGTGTGTAAAAAATACATAATGACAGTTTTTATCCTTACCAAAGAACAGATTCCTTACAGGATGTTACTGCCACCACCGTTTGTCACTGTGGGAACAATGTGTTCAGTCTTAGGTTTTCCCCACACAGTGTTTTCCATGTAGGCCAAAAAGTCTGATTTTGTTTTTAGGTGTACCAGATTAAAGGGGCTAAGATTCAAATACACATCACGTTTTAGATTTTGATTTAAAAACATAATGCAAATATTTTTCTCCCACTTTTTGCACTATTCTGTGTTTGTGATCTCTTTAAAACACGTTAACCTAACAAAATGGGGAAAAGGTCAGAGAGTACAGAACGGTTTTGCAAGCACGGTAAAAAAGGATATGCCTCCTGTTATCCATATTTTGTGTTTATCTATTCTCACTGGTCCTGCCTGTGTGTTTCTGTGGAGCTATCCAGCTGTCTTCAACATCTCTGAGTAATTCAATGAGCCCCCTCTGTCCTGAGGAAGGAA